TTTTTTTTTGCGCTGTATTAAAGCATTTGCTGATTTTATTGGCCTTTTCGCATCACGTGACTATAACACTGCATAAGTTGCATCACTCCAAAAAGTGGGTTGTACCTTAACCTAGCTTAAAATTATGAATGAAAAAGATACGAGGTTAATAAAACTGCTATAAATGTAACACTGCCTTCTGGTATTCATATTTATATTTGTTGTTTACAGATTCGGCACAAGTAATTTGCTAGTACGTGTCTTCTCTTAAAAATGCACTGATGAAAAGTGATAAATGAACCTACAAATGACATTTTCTGCATTTCTTAAATAGTTGGTCCTTCATATAACTCATAAATGAAATGTGTTTCTACTTTAAAAGCATTTTTTAAATGCATGTTATGAACCTCTAAGTGCTCATCGGTCAGATTTAAGATGAAGCACCATTTATGTCGAGAAGCTTTTTCTTTTTTTCATGACTGAACGCTCGTGTAAGTTCGTTATGGACCAACAACTTTTCCTTGACTACGACAAGCTTTGATGTTTGTGACTTCCTATTTGTTCAAAGGTTACGTTTTCAGCAAAGTTTTGTGTTGATGTCACCTTTTGTTTGAACGTTTGATAACAAAAAGTTGTTTTGAATCTTCATAGCGAGAAGCATAAAGGTGTTTCCAGGCGCCCTAGGGCGGTTTGATACTCAAATGAGTTCCATGAATACTGAAGAGGCTTTCCACGTTGCTTTGTCATGTTGATTGTCTATTTTGAGGATCAGGAGGCGTGTTTATGTAATTGATGTCATACTTGTGTGAATTGCTGGGTTTATAAGGACTCTGTTTGCAGCATACAAGTCATATTTGACACTGAAGTGAAAATGAGAGCAAGTACAATTCTGGTGGCGTCCTATACCCTTTTTCTCATCATGGCCTCACTCTGCAACACGGGTGAAGGATTTGCTTTAACACTTTCATCAAGACGAGAACAGCTAAAGGTTGCCAAAAAGAGGCAGGAATTAGCGGAGGAAGATAGGTTGCGTAAAAGGCTACGGAAACTAGAGAACCGGGAAACAGAGCTGAACAGAAAAGTGACAGATCTAAAGAAGATGTTAAAAAAATACAAATCAACGCATAGAACTAAGGTGAGCATTTTTCTTAAAAAATCCCTACGCATTTAACATTTGGCTCTTCCTCAACCATACCGATGCATTGCAAAACACTGGGCTTCGGGAGTGCCAAAGAAGCAAGAAACAAAATCTAACGGATATTGTCACTGAATAGCAAGGCGGGAGAACTTCGTTGTTTAGGATTTGCACATAGAATAACACGGGTTAATGGAGATGAGCGCGTGCGGTAAAACCTGCCTACCACGCAGGCAACACGTGAAAAACGTGTTTTATAGGATTCGTGAACCAGCCTTTTAATCAAAAAATGTGGCAAACCTCTTCGTATTGATGCTTTCATCAGTTACTGTAGATGCAAAAATTAACGTATACTTCATTGCGTTAACTGCCTGCCCAAGCTTTACATTGCTGTCCATACGGACTGCGGGGTCTTTTCATTTGGCAGTGTTGGTATATTTTAACACACTAAAATGTGGTTCAACCGCAATAACGAGACATCAATTACAAATTACTTCTGAAGTTCCGATACAACGCGGTATATCGATTAGTGACTGTCGTATTGCTCACTGTTATTCGATAGGAAAAAAGATTTCGTGGTCATTCATTAATGCTGAATTTTCCTTTTTTTAAAAAACAGACGAAAAGTGGGAGACTATCTGGAGTGGACTCATGAGTTCAAAGCCGTGATCAAGAGTTTACTATTACGGGAAACAGATCAGCAAAATGAAGACTGAAGAAACATGCGAGCGGTTCCGTTGTATTCATTTTGTACATTCCAAAGAACAGTGCCACGTCTTACATAATTGAAACATTATTTAACAGTATATTTATAACAGAGCCTTTCATGTGACAGAATAACAGATTAATATATCTATTTATAATAAAGACGTATTTTTTCAAGGATGCTGTTATTATGCTTACACGCATGAACGATACTTTTAATTAGGGGAAGAAATTAATTGTAACAAAATGTCAGCCACTAAAAATAATTGTTACAGAAAATAACCCTTACAATTCATTACAGTGCAAAACTTAAGTAAAAATCTCCCGGAGTTGCGTCAGTTGCGTCAGCTTCTCATAATTGAGATCCAAACTTTAAAGCTATGAGCTTGTGGGATCGTGCTTACACAGCAAATGCTAAAGGAGTATAACACAGTTTAGCTATTGATGTGGTGTGGAGAAGCTGAATTAACAACTTCATTATGGAAAAGAGAGCTAGCAAGTGTATATATTATACAAGTAAATGTATGAAAGATCATATACTTGAACTGCGGATAAAGATATGAAGACAAGATTGATCATCGCAGTTATGTACACAGCTAAAGCAGCTGTGAAATTAAACCCCGGAAAAATATCCAGGCTTGAACGGGATTCGAACCCATGACCTCTGCGATACCGGTGCAGTGCTCTACCGACTGAGCTATCAAGCCTACTGGGGCCTTATTTTGCTTATTTCGGCCATGACATGTCATGCTAACGGTTACCTGATCTCTGACCTATTTTTCTCTCTCACGTAACCATGGAAACCATGGTTACAAGTGGAGATATTGGTACGTGGAAGGCCAGCGCAAAAATAGATCTGGGGTTGCGGCCAGATGAAAGCAATTCCCAGTGTCTTGACCTACGTAATAGGGATGTGAGGTTCATTGTTCATTTTAGGAAATAGAATTGGACAATACTCACCCCAATCAAGAAAGGATGAGGTCATCTTCTTTTGCGCCAATGAATTCCGAAATTGGACAATTAGGGACAATTACGTTAGCCAATGACGTGTAATTTATATTGCGCATGCCGGGACTGTCCAATGTGGCAGGATGTAGATAGTTACTTAATAGGATTTAAGGTTATCATCATTTATCATTTCTCGCGCATAATACGTCCGGTATACGATTTACTGCGTGAAATGATGCAGCAGATAAATAGGAAAAACAAATTAAGTGATTAAGTGGCCGGAGTTGCATAAGAGTATAAATTGAACTAGCGTAATGTCCGCATTAGAGAAGCATGCCGTGTACTTTTTTTGCAGGTTTATCGACCAAGCCGCAGGCTACCTGTTTTTTCTCACGTCGCTTTGGGAACATTTAACTGAAATGTTCTCCAGTCTTGAAAGGAAAAGAGATTTCTTGAGCGGGAGATTTCTTGAGCGGTCCATCTTAGCGGTCCGTGTTGCAAAATTCCGACCACCAAAGAAACAGATCAAAATCTCGGACCAGTTCAGTCATATAATAAGGAACTATACTGAACTACGCTCTAACATCTAGTAGAGTCCATTCACCTTGTCTCTACTGCTCCGCTGGTCGCTAACTTTTAGTGGCAGAAATTACTCCACGCGTTTTGAAAGCTCCCTCACCATATACTCAGTGGAGAGAGTGTGTATTGTGATCAACTGAGGCGGCCAACTCGAGTAGGGCAAGTCAGCTAAGAACTTGTATCATTTGCCCTACCCATTTTTGGAGATTATTTTCTCCACAGAAACAAATTAAAAAAACGGCTAGTAAGGAAAAAAACTAAATGTCTTCTCATGAAAAAAAAAAAAAAAATTATAATCATTGTCCATAATTCCGTTTCTTAAACGGAGGGGAATGTTGCTGTTACAGGTCAAGTTGTTAAGACAGTTTATTTGAATTTTGTCGTAGTTGGACAAGAAACTATGTTCATGTATGAGCTAAACAGTTTTCTCAAAAATAATTCCTTTCCATCCACATTCTGAGCAATAATGCGATAACGTGCTTTTGAGCGATAATGCGGCGGCCATGCTGTCAAATTGAGCACCCACTCATTTACTTTCAGAAATAGCTCGAGTGTCCATCTTGAAAGCTAAAGGAGTGTCTGAAAGTCCACCAGTCCAGACAAGCAAAACTCCGGCGGATCGATAGAGATGCCCAAATTAGGGAATTTGCCACACTGTATGACCGCAACCAGCTGCTGGTGAGCGAGGTCAGGCATATTCCGCTTTTGGAGACGCAAACAATCTCTGAAATGTATGGAAATAGACATGTATACTTTAGTGTTAGTTGGCGGCATCCCGCTGCCCCGATGGAGTGCGCGAGGTATATTGATTCTTGGCACAAGAAGAGGCGGCTTGAACGTCATTTTCAAGGCTGTTTGCCTGTTTTCGGTTAAGATCGTTTCATGATAAGATCTCGAGAGGTACTCCAGGCGAAGAGGAGAAGGGGGCGTGATCAGAGAAAGAGCGAGCTGTGTGTTTACGGACAAAAAGCAAACCTGGTGTTTAAGTTGTCTTTATTGCTTCTTAATAGCTCCGACTACCGCGCTTTGACATTTGCCCCTTTTCCTTCTAATGACATATTAAGTGGCTATTGCTTTGTAGTTCTCTCACAAGTAGCATCTATTTCTTTGTCGTGATTCTATTTACGCTTTATCGTTTATTTAAGTCTCAACTGGAAAAGATGACGAAAACTAAAACGACAACAGACAGTCTGTGACGTCATCATCGCCGTGTTTGTTGTCCTCATCAAGTGATTTTTGGTTTATTTTTTACCGTCTTCTCTTACATATTCTATCAACATGGCGGACACGTCCCTGTCGATTGAATCTTTAGGATTGGTGGCAACCCATCAATGTGGTTGAGATAACTTTCGAACATTTTCCGGTCGGGAAATATCAATACATGTACGCCCCTTTTTGTGTGAAAATCTATCCGATGTCTGACCACAAGTTAGTACAGCTTGAGAAAAGAACTATTTCATAGCGTTCCCAGGCAAATCTTCTATAAATAGCTAACAACAATATTGTCTTGACGTAATACCTAATTTACACCTCTAATGAAATTCATATTTCAAGTTGACTTCTTTATTTCTTAAAGTGTTCCTCTGGTGCCGATGGCGCGCGGTAAACAAACATCATTTTGAAAGGCATCAGACCAAGACCTCTTCTTCTATGTTCTTTCGCGTCTGTTTGTTTCAAAATGCCCACCAGTCCGGTTAGCAGAGTTATCCGCTTTCCTTGTTCTCTGTTGCAACGAACAAACAGCAGTAGAATGTAAGCTGGTGTATGTAGTAGTTGCACAAACAATATTGGTTTTTATCACGTGGATGTGTGTGTGTACATGTGTGTGCTGCGTCTCTATGCAAGCGGTCATGCATGCATAAGGTTAGGACGATTGATTTACGACCACTTTAGCTTGTTTGTCGGGTTTGTCAAATGCATTAAAGTTCGCGTGATCTCAGTGCAAAAAAAAGAAAAAAAAACTAAATAAACGAATCGTGTTTTTCAGTTGAGATGAATCCAAATGAATTGAAGCAATCTAGCACCTGGTGATTTAAGGAGCAAATTTTGAAGACTGACAAGTTGGTAATAGTTGTAGCTTTTCATAAAATTACACTGCTTCTTTGTCTAAAGCCCCATTTGTCCAAAAATGTGCGGAATACTCTTCTGGCGGGCGTGAGAACTTCATTTAAAATGCCCGACATTGTTCAGTTTGGATTATACGTCGGTTGCCAAGGTCAGTGGAATCTGCGTTGTGTTTGTAAGATTCTGTAGATCCAGCGACTAATCTACTTTAAAATTGTTTACCTTCAACACCCTCTTATGTGAAAAACAAATAAAGCAAACAAGAATGGAGATTAACGCTAATATCAATTTCTCGACGACAGATTTTTCTTGCGATTCCACACTCAATGTCTATTAGTAATACTTCCTCGACGTAAGGCACAGACCTGAGACACAGAAAACTTGACGAAATTATCGAAAGCATAAGTCGAGATACTTCAATTACGTAAACTACTTTCTTACTTAACATCATCCTTTTTACCCAGTGTTGCAGCCACCTCTCTTTCTTCTGTTTTTTCTCCCTAAAGTTGGACGTGTCATGTTGAGGTGTTGTGGAGACGACTGGCTCTTCGATACGTTGTCCGGTCAAGACTATGATGATCTTTCTCCCGTCTCCTTGCTCTATCTGCTGGCCAATGGCGATAATCCCCAGTAATGCTTGCAAAAGGACAATCGATTTAATGGACTTCATGGCGCTGCAATATGTTTAGTTTGAGCTTATCTTTAACGTTCGCTGCTGTCAAGCCCCGGCTTTATATTTATCAGCACACTTACCGGAAATGGTTAACGAAGAATGAAAGCCCGCACTGTACTTACAACCATGGCCAATCAGACAAAAAGGATTTTAATTGCTTTACTGTTAATGAGCTTTAATGAGATCCGCCTGTTTTCAAGTCTGCTCTAGCCAAGGTGTGGGTACTATGACCCTGTTGCACCGTGTCTTCGCTTCACGTGTCTCCTCGTTTTCCGGGTATGTTCTGCCTTGGATGCCATTGCGTTTCTAAGGATTCTACGACTCTTCGACTCTTGTTTTGAGCATTGACCTCAACGGGATCAGTTCGTAGTCTTATTTCACACTGCTCATCGTAGAAAATATAACATTGGCTTTATTACACAAGAGACTCAAACATCACAATAAACGGACCGACGTGTCAACACGGTACTCAACGGGAAAACGAGAATCATACAGGAATTGTGATCATGATTCTTCCAGAATGCAAAAAAAGAACTACAAAAGTATCTCTGACAGACGAAATTCAGAATTAGGCGCTAGAGGAAAGGATTAAAAACGTCTGCTAAAAAAAAAATCTAAGAGACTGGAAAATCTACGCCTGTTGTCACAGTCGACTGGCACCGCCTTCAGGCACTTTCTTCTTAAAATGGCAAGTACATCCGATCGGTTAAAGATCTCTGGACAAACTTCCCATAGAAACAAAACAAAAGTCAACCGCAAAAGTCAGCATATTTTTTTATAGGCTTTGTCCTGACATAACCCCCTTTACGGGCGTTGGAACTTGAAATTAGCTTTCCAGACAGATTTCTAAGCTAGACCTCGTGACTTAAAAACTCTTCTCAGTTGTAATCTCCAGTATTTTGTTAAGAACCTTTAATGAGTGGCTCCGCATCCGAAGATACCAAGAGAAGTAGGGGGGTAATTCTGACTCAATTCTCTTTCACATACAATTAGTAATTGCCAAAATTAGTTGAAAATCATTCGAGCGAATGAAAACTAAGTTTATACCAATGATAAAATTTTTGATTTACCAGACAGCCTATTATTTCGATCACGTTTGTCTTAATCTTGTTGTGCCATAATAAAAAAGGAGCTTGACCACAAAGTGAGTGACCTTTCAACTGAACGCCCAAGTGCTGTTTTTAAAGTAAACGTTGTTCACCTGTCCACTGTACATGTCAAATGGAAACCTGCATCGTTACATTCATGAGTTTTTTCCATTATTGAAGAGGTATGGAAAAGAAAAAAAAAATAGTTCAAAAGTTAGAAAAGATTGTCTCCTCATGAAACTACTACAGCGAACGGAACGTTGATCGCACTGAACTGCACCATGGGGAAACTAGATGGTGCCAAGTTCCAAGATGCACAGGAATTTCCTGAACAGGTTTATTACCAATGTGGGTCGGAAAGTCGCTAAGTAAATTTGGGCGATATAACGCGATTTGGAAGACTTAAAGCGATCTATGAAAAACTGGAGGGAAGTCGTGGTGTTAGGCTACCCAGAAAAGCGACTACTGGCAAATGGGCGACTAAGGCGATTTGAGGACCTAAAGTAGGCGTACCTGAGCAGCCAAAGTCGTTTCGTTCAATTAAGTTGGTAGGCGTGCGAGACTTCGGGTTTTGGTAATTGATTTCATTAAATGATCTTTTTCAATCTTCAATATGGGAACTGAACCCCGAAAGAACGATGAACAATACGTGTGAATATGCAATACATGAGCTAAGATTATGGTTCTACACTAAACTGCAATCTACGATTGTCTTTGCATGACCCTCCCTTTACATCATGATGCAAGGGCAACACTATTTATTTCCTTTCATTGTTTGCCAATATTTCAATTTTAATTTTTTTAAGAGAATCTTATAACACTATTAATGAAAAGTTTTAGGTAGAGTTAATACGGTGTTCCCAATTAGCCCACATGGGCTAAATACATTGACACTTAAATAAAGTTCTTACTTACTTACTTACTTACTTACTTACTTACTTGATTACTATTCTACGAAAAACCCATCCATTTACTCAGTTAACCGTTTGAATAAACTGATGAAGTAGAAACAACTGCCGTAAATATATAGGCTAAGAAAACTGGAAATAGCGATCAGAAAATGCAGTAGATCTTACAGACAATGAGAGATTAGTGTCTAAATACATTGACACTTCAATAAAGCTGTTATTATCTGAAGAAATGGTTGCAAGGGTTATTATACGGATCTTTCACGAGTCACCCGAGCGATCAGATGTTAGGAAAGCTTATCAGGCATAAAAAGCCTATAAATTTTACTTGCTGGATAGAAAGCAATTAAAGTGGTGGAAATAAAGTACCATTAGGAAATCTTATCGGGATTTAATTGGTTTCTACACTGCATCCCATGTTTGTGCCATTAGGAGAACACGAAAGCACCCAATAGCATTTTCGTCAATTACTAAACATCTCAGCCCGATTTTTGATAGTAGAATCATAGCTACCCTGTAATTATGTATACAGAAAATTATGAACTTGATCATGGCTTCTGCATATTTTCCCCTTCGTTAAATTGTTTCTTCGTCCTATCGGGTGGAAAGTTAAAATTAGCGATAAAAACCACTTTTAAACAAGATTAAGTACTTAGTGCTGATCACTAGACGGAGATTACTGATTAACGTGGATAGCGATCAGCTGGTTGAGGATCGGAAATATACCCGTAAACTTGCTGATTTTACTCGCTGGATGGAAAGCAACGAAGGGTGGAGATTAAGTGCCACCTTTTAGCTTTAGGAAATCTTCTTTGGAGGGTGTTGTTTCCTAAATTTCTGCATTTTTCCCCTTCATCAAATTGTTTCTTCGTTCCGACCTCAGATGGGAATTTACAATTAGGATTAAAAACCGCCTTTAAACAAGATTAGTGCTGGATTAACGCTAATCGGCAACAACCGGGGCCAAATGGCCACCTGAGGAGTTCATCGTGGGCAAGAACTGTCTGGAAGAGTTATGGAGAAGACAAAACAGTCGATGGACGGGAAGTAATCACTAGTCTATATCATAACATTGCTTACAATTGCAAGTTAAACAATATTGGCCAACAGACATCTTTCCCGTGGCAGTGCATGCAGCAAAGAAATGGTGCTACACCTGATTTCCGAAACTAGTTAAAGAAAGTCAGTAAATTAAATCACAAATTGAGCTGTGCAATGAAGCAGTCTCTGCTGGAAGCTTCACGAGCTGCAAATAGTCGTCAGTACGTGGACAATGATTGTAGGTGGACAATTTTATTGTTTTCATAATGTCCCCCAAAAAACACGGAATTGCTAGAATTTCTTCAGTTCCCTGCGGCCAGAGGGCTAAAGGAATCTAACTTTGCGTCTAGATCATATTACTTTAAGTCCTTTATAGTCGTACTGTAGGTGTGTACGAGAAAAAAAAAAAAAATGTATGAAAATAAAATAACCAAAGGACGGATTTCAGGTTACTGGTTTTTCCCACCTGAACCAATTCCGCCAACACAGTGCGGCGAGTCAAAGCGATTTTTCCTCGAGGAGGTAAATTCAATTTTATTGTATTGATCTTCTGATGAAAGTAACAAGATATTCCTTTCCAAACTTTATAGTGACCGAATAGATGAAGTAAAAAACACACAATAATCAGGTTAATAGTTTTCCCCACCTGTCGTGTTCTCCAGGTTACAGCGGCAAGTCCAAAGGATTCTTTCTCGTGATTTCATCCCGTCTGTCACTACAGTTGATATGTCTGTGGTTCAAAGAATCCCGCAGTTCAAGTATGTTAAATTCACTTTAAAACAAGCTCTTTCCGTTGACTATTGAAACATAGTTGCAATTTTATCGATTGGTGTTGGGTTTGAATGATAATACTGGTTCTTCTCATTCACATTAGGGCTTAGCCTGCTGCCGCATTTTAATGCCACATAAATTGAAAGAAAACTGAAAGGAGAAGTGGTCGAAAAACCGGTAGGCAAATATCCACTATTTTCCTGTATTGAATGCCATTCTCCATGGAAAGTTAATTTCATGCTTCGCCGCTCGCACGTGTGCTCCCCACACGTGAGCCTACTAGCAGACTTATTATGAACGTTTCGCTTTTTTTGGTGGATGCAGTTAGCAGGGTTGAGAATATCTACAGACTTAAATCTCCGAGATGAGACTTCATACCACTCATAGTCGAAATAGTGTACTATGCATTTCAACACTGAGGAATGGACTCGCAAAGTAACTGTAAAAATTGTGCAGACGAAAACATTGTACATTAAATCATTAGCATTTTCATGGCTGCAACTAGCCACTACTTATCTTGGGTGCCTTTCTTTGCGCGGCTTTCGATTCCCATCAAGTACGACCGTTACTGATAAAATACGTTCCACCTTTCCTGAGAATGTTCTTTTTTAAGTATTGGCGAGTTATATCTCGTTTTGTTTATGACGCGTACTGGTTTTAAACGATTTTGAAACCTGTCTGATCGAAGTCCTCGAGACAGGACAATGTGGCGTGACTTGAAGACTACAAACTAGCATTTTGCACCTGAATGCTGTGAAATCGTTTATAGCAGGATACCAGTTGGCTACTTTCCTTTAGCCAACGAAGCAACACAGTGAAACACACCCTTTATCAAGCGGAGACGTCTGGTCCTCAGCACCATGTACCTTTCCACAATACAACGAACCTCTATTCAGAACACACCTCTAATGAGCAGAGGACACCAAAATGAACAATTTCGGCAATCAGTCTACTGCTATAAACCGGACATCCGACTGAATCAATACAAAGCAGTACTGGATTAGGTCTTTACCTAAGGCTGCTCTTTACCATTTCTTGGTCATTTTTAAACTCTTTTGCTTGAATGTCAATACAGTGAATGGTTACCAGCAAGGATTGCAAGTCAGCGCAGGCCTTTTCACAAATATCACGTAAAATCGCCCACATATCTTTCCAGAAATTCTCAAAATTTTTTCTAAAAATCGCCACAAATGTTCTAAATATCTCGAAAAACTCTCCGAATATCTCTTATGTTAGTTTTAAAATGAACAGATGTTGGATCACTTAGGCAAAAATTTTCAACATTTTCTTGCAGCAGTAAAAGGAATAGCGGATGACCTCATCTTCGTCTCTTGAGGAAGAGGATTCACGCGCTTCGATGTTGCCAGCATCCGCCATTTTGGAAAATTGCGGCTTTTGAGCTTTTAGTGATCTAAGCTTACATGTATTGGAATATATGTTTCAAGATAATAATTGAGGAAAAAACACAAGGCTCTGTCGAAAATAAGCTATTCATATTTCTAAATATCCCAAAGTTCTCTAAATGTCCTAATATTTTCTTAATATCTCAGAGCCTTCTAAATATCCCAACAAATATCCGGATATCTGTGGAAAGACCTAAGTCAGTGCATACATTCATCAACTGCACAAACAGAAGTACCGTCTGGTCACCGTCTGATCACTCACTGGACTTGAAATACCAATAAGAAGCACGACATCACTAGTATGCATTTTACTGAGTACAATTCACAGAGCATTACTCCATTTTTACAACCAGAAATATAAAACAGATCTATTCCTTGCAATCAGTACAATGCCACCTTCACCAAAGTTGAGGTCATCCCTAACAGTTCTCACAGAATCACATGCACTAAGTAGAGCATGTGGCAACTTTCAGGACGTGTTCACTGCTTTTCACAAAGAACGCAAACACTTTGAGTACTTAAGAAATACCTACTAAAAACGGTACTTGTTTCCCTATGAGCTTTTCTGGAATTGCTTCAGTTTGCAGATAAATTTCGTTGATAATTCTCTTCAACGCTGGGTAAAGAGCGCTGTGCAGATAGAAGGAAGTGAAGCAGACTAAATGGTGCTTAGATCGAGACAATTGCTCTTGGTGAGCATTTTCTAAATTCTACGAAACACTCATTAGCATATGGTATAGGAACTAGTTTAAACGCGATACAGATATAACCTTTCAGACTTGTCTTATTCTTCTTCACTAATAGTGAAGGAGAATAAGAGAGGTCCCCCTCTCCCTCTGCCGCTTAGAAAAGACTGACACTCAGTCAGCAGCATTTACGAAATCATTTACATAAAAAGAAACATTCAGATAACTTGCCACATTTAGTGGAAAATATGTGCTTGAAAGAGACAAAGGAAAGAAAAGTGAAAACAAAAACTACGTATCGCCGTTCTAGGAAATGATCGCGGTTTTGTCCGAGACAAAATCTACAGATCAGTTTATCCAGCAACTTCCTTCAAACCAGCCGTTTTTCTTGCTTTGTACAGAAGGGCTCGCAACATAAACTGTTTCCGCGATAATGTCCTTACGTGCTGCAAGAGAAAACAATAACAACAGTGAGACAAACTACCAAAGCATCAATGGAAATAGACGAAAGAAGCTGTTATGCTGATGTCAGTAAGTCTAGTAGTGTGAGAAATATAATTCACCGCGTTGTACGTGGTGGGACTATGTAGGTCAGTGCAGTAATGAACGAAATGTAAGTAGCGTATATGACGTAAC